ATTGAAGGATAAAAACCATATGATTATCTCAATAGATGCAGGAAAAACTTTTGATAAAATTCAACATCCGTTTATGATAAAAATTCTCCAGAAAGTGGGCATAGAGGTAACCTATCTCAACATAATAAAGGCCCTATACGACAAACCCACAGCTAACATCATACTCAATGGTGAAGAGCTGAAAGTGTTTCCTCTAAGATCAGGAACAAGACAAGGATGTTCACCCTCATCACTTTTATTCAAGGATGTCACAAAGAAAGAAAACTACAGGCCAATATTGCTGATGAACATAGATGCAAAAATCCTCAACAAAATACTAGCAAACAGAATCCAACAGCACATTAAAAGGATCATACACCATGATCAAGTGGGGTTTATTCCAGGAATGCAAGGATTCTTCAATATACGCAAATCAATCAACGTGATACACCATATTAACAAATTGAAGGAGAAAAACCATATGATCATCTCAATAGGTGCAGAGAAAGCTTTCGACAAAATTCAACACCCATTTATGATAAAAACCCTGCAGAAAGTAGGCATAGAAGGAACTTCCCTCAACATAATAAAGGCCATATATGACAAACCCACAGCCAACATCGTCCTCAATGGTGAAAAACTGAAACCATTTCCACTAAGATCAGGAACAAGACAAGGTTGCCCACTCTCACCATTCTTATTCAACATAGTTTTGGAAGTTCTAGCCACAGCAATCAGAGAAGAAAAAGAAATAAATAAAAGGAATCCAAATCGGAAAAGAAGAAGTAAAGCTGTCACTGTTTGCAGATGACATGATACTCTACATACAGAATCCTAAAGATGCTACCAGAAAACTACTAGAGCTAATCAATGAATTTGGTAAAGTAGCAGGATACAAGATTAATGCACAGAAATCTCTGGCATTCTTATACACTAATGATGAAAAATCTGAAAGTGAAATTAAGAAAACACTCCCATTTACCACTGCAACAAAAAGAATAAAATAGTTAGGAATAAACCTACCTAGGGAGACAAAAGACCTGTATGCAGAAAATTATAAGACACTGATGAAAGAAATTAAAGATAATACAAATAGATGGAGAGATATACCATGTTCTTGGATTGGAAGAATCAACACTGTGAAAATGACTCTACTACCCAAAGCAATCTACAGATTCAATGCAATCCCTATCAAACTACCACTGGCATTTTTCACAGAACTAGAACAAAAAAATTCACAATTTGTATGGAAACACAAAAGATCCCAAATAGCCAAAGCAATCTTTTTTTTTTTTTTTTTTTTTTTGCGGTACACAGGCCTCTCACTGTTGTGGCCTCTCCCGTTGCGGAGCACAGGCTCCAGACGCACAGGCTCAGCAGCCATGGCTCACGGGCCTAGCCGCTCCGTGGCATGTGGGATCTTCCCTGACTGGGGCACAAACCTGTGTCCCCTGCATCGGCAGGCAGACTCCCAACCACTGCGCCACCAGGGAAGCCCCAAAGCAATCTTGAGAACGAAAAATGGAGCTGAAGGAATCAGGCTCCCTGACTTCAGACTATACTACAAAGCTACAGTAATCAAGACAGTATGGTACTGGCACAAAAAGAGAAATATTGATCAATGGAACAGGATAGAAAGCCCAGAGATAAACCCACGCACATATGGTCACCTTATCTTTGATAAAGGAGGCAAGAACATACAGTGGAGAAAAGACAGCCTCTTCAGTAAGTGGTGCTGGGAAAACTGGACAGGTACATGTAAAAGTATGAAACACTCCCTAACACCATACATAAAAATAAACTCAAAATGGATTAAAGACCTAAATTTAAGGCCAGACACTATCAAAATCTTAGAGGAAAACACAGGCAGAACACTCTATGACATAAATCACAGCAAGATCCTTTTTGACCCACCTCCTAGAGAAATGGAAATAAAAACAAAAATAAACAAATGGGACCTAATGAAACTTCAAAGCTTTTGCACAGCAAAGGAAACCATAAATAAGACCAAAAGACAACCCTCAGAATGGGAGAAAATATTTGCAAATGAAGCAACTGACAAAGGATTAATCTCCAAAAGTTACAAGCTGCTCATGCAGCTCAATATCAAAAAAACAAACAACGCAATTCAAAAATGGGCAGAAGACCTAAATAGACATTTCTCCAAAGAAGATATACAGATTGCCAACAAACACATGAAAGGATGCTCAACATCATTAATCATTAGAGAAATGCAAATCAAAATTACAATGAGATATCATCTCACACCGGTCAGAATGGTCATTATCAAAAAAATCTAGAAACAATAAATGCTGGAGAGGGTGTGGAAAAAAGGGAACCCTCTTGCACTGCTGGTGGGAATGTAAATTGATACAGCCACTATGGAAAACAGTATGGAGGTTCCTTAAAAAACTACAAATAGAACTACCATACGACCCAGCAATCCCACTACTGGGCATATACCTTGAGAAAACCATAATTCAAAAAAGAGTCATGAAAAAAGAAAAAAAAAAAGAGTCATGTGCCAAAATGTTCATTGCAGCTCTATTTACAATAGCCAGGACATGGAAGCAACCTAAGTGTCCATCGTCGGATGAATGGATAAAGAAGATGTAGCACATATATACAATGGAATATTACTTAGCCATAAAAAGAAATGAAATTGAGTTATTTGTAGTGAGGTGGATGGACCTAGAGTCTGTCATACAGAGTGAAGTCAGAAAGAGAAAAACAAATACTGTATGCTAACACATATATATGGAATCTAAGGAAAAAAAAAAAAAGGTCAAGAAGAACCTAGGGGTAAGACGGGAATAAAGACACAGACCTACTAGAGAATGGACTTGAGGATATGGGGAGGGGGAAGGGTAAGCTGTGAGAAAGAGAGTGGCATGGACATACATACACTACCAAACGTAAAATAGATAGCTAGTGGGAAGCAGCCGCACGGCACAGGGAGATCAGCTTGGTTCTTTGTGACCACCTAGAGGGGTGGGATAGGGAGGGTGGGAGGGAGGGAGACTCAAGAGGGAAGAGATATGGGAACATATGTGTATGTATAACTGATTCACTTTGTTATAAAGCAGAAACTAACACACCATTGTAAAGCAATTATACTGCAATAAAGATGTTAAAAAAAATTATGGACTCCAAAAACTATAAGATGCTGATGAAAGAAATTGAAGATGACACAAACAGATGGAAAGATACACTGTGTTCTTGGATTGGAAGAATCAATATTGTCAAAATAACTATACTATCCTAGGCAATCTACAGATTCAATGTAATCCCTATCAAATTACCAAGGGCATTTTCACAGAACTAGAACAAGAAAAATCCTTAAAATTTGTATGGAAACACAAAAGACTCTGCATAGCCAAAGCAATCTTGAGAAAGGAAAGTGAAGCTGGAGGAATCAGGCTCCCTGACTTCAGACTATACTACAAAGTTACAGTAATTAAAACAGTACGGTACCGGCACAGAAAAGAATATATAGATCAATGGAACATGATAGAAAGCCCAGAAATAAACCCATGCAATTACGGTCAATCAATCTACAACAAAGGAGGCAAGAACATACAATAGAGAAAAGACAGTCTCTTCAGTAAGTGGTGCTGGGAAAACTGGACAGCTACATGTAAAAGAATGAAATTAGAACATTCTCTAACATCATACACAAAAATAAACTCAAAGTGGATTAAAGACCTAACTGTAAAACCGGATACTATAAAACTCCTATAGGAAAACATAGGCAGAACACTCTTTGACATAAATCGTAGCAATATCTTTTTGGATCCATCTCCTAGAGTAATGGAAATAAAAACAAAAATAAATAACTGGGACCTCATTAAACTTAAAAGTTTTTGCACAGCAAAGGAAACTATAAACAACCTATAGAATGGGAGAAAACACTTGCAAATGATGTGACTGACAAGGGATTAATCTCCAAAATATGCAAACAGCTCATACAGCTCAATATCAAAAAAGCCCAAACAACCCAATCAAAAAATGGGCAGAAGATCTAAATAGACATTTCTCCAAATAAGACATAACAGATGGCCAAAAGGCACATGAAAAGATGCTCAACATTGCTAACATAGAAATGCGGATCTAAACTACAATGAGGTATCACCTCACACTGGTCAGAATGGCCATCGTGAAAAAGTCTATGAATAATAAATGCTGGAGAGGGTGTGGAGAAAAAGGAACCCTCCTACAGTGTTGGTGGGAATGTAAACTGGTATACCCAGAGAACAGGACTGGAGAACAGTATGGAGGTTCCTTAAAAAACTAAGAATAGAGCTACCATATGATCCTGCAATCCCACTCCTGGGCATGTATCTGGAGAAAACCATAATTCGAAAAGATACATGCACCCCAATGTGCACTGTAGCACTATTTACAATAGCAAAGACATGGAAACAACTTAAACATCCATCAACAGACAAATGAATAAAGAAAATGTGGTACACACACACACACACACACACACACACACACACACACAGTAGAATACTACTCAGCCATAAAAAGGAGTGAAATAATGCCATTTGCAGCAACATGGATGGAGCTAGAGATTATCATACTAAGTGAAGTAAATCCGACAGAGAAAGACAAATACCATATGATATCGCTTACATGTGGAATCTAAAAAAAATGATACAAATGAACTTATATACAAAACAGAAATAGACCCACAGACATATAGAAAACAGATTTATGGTTACTAAAGGAAAAGCAGGGGGGAGGGATAAACTAGGAGTTTGGGATTAACATATACACACTGCTATATAGAATATAGATAACCAACAAGGACCTACTGTATAGCACAGCGAAATATACTCAATATTTTGTAATAACCTATAAAGAATCTGAAAAAGAATATATGTATGTATGGGTATATATACACACATACATAACTGAATCACTTTGCTGTACACCTGAAACACAACATTGTAAATCAACTATACTTCAATAAAAAATCTTTTTAAATAAAAAATAAAATAATGAAATCTTGCCTTTGTGACAACACGGATGGACCTTGAGGGCATTATGCTAAATGAAATAAGTCAGACAGAGAAAGACAAACACCATCTGATCTCACTTATATGCGGACTCTAAAACACAGCAACAATAGCAACCACAAAACCAAGCTCACCGTGCAAAGAGCAGATGGGTGGTTGCCACAGGCAGCGGTGGGGTGGGGTGCGCAAAACGGGTGAAGGGAGTCAAAAGGCACAAACTTCTAGTCACCAAATAATTACACCATGCGGAGGGAATGTACAACCTGGTGACTACAGTTATTAATACTGTACTGCATCTTTGACAGTTGCTAAATCTTAAAAGTTCTCGTCAGAAGTAAAAAAATTGTTACTGTGTATGATGAGGGATATTAACCACTTATTATGAGGATCGCTTTGCAATATACACAAATACTGAAACATGTTGTACACCCGCAACTAATACAATGTTATATGTCAATTATACCTCGATAAAAAAGGTGGCTTGATGATCTCTACTCCCGGGGCCTACTGTGAAGGCAGGATGAGGTGCGGCTGGTTAAGGGCCCGCCTGCTCCAGCACCAGGCAAGCACTCGCTGCACATCTGTTGGCTACGTGGGGGAGCCCATCAAAGTAGCCCCACTTTCCTGCTAATGACCATGGCCCGGGGACTCCAGCTCCCAGGAGGATGGAGGAGCAGTGCAGCCCCGGACCAGGCCTTCGGGCAAAGTTTGGGACAATACCGCCACCTGGTGGCTGCTCAGGCGCATCACGGCTCCATCGGCACCCATCACATTCCCTGACCCCGTGCTGGGCGCTGGGGCCAGGTGAGAGCCCTACAAGAGTGGCAGGGGATGGACATGGGCACACCGGGGCCTTTAACCCAAATGGCAAACACAGGACGAAAGCAGCTTGGGGGAGAAAGCATAAGAGCATTTCCGCCAATGGCCGAGGGTGGTCCCTGAGCAGCACCCAGGGGGTGCCACAAGCCCAGCTGGAGACATATGGAACCAGGAATAAAGGGATGGGAAGTGGAAGCACTCGGGGGGCAGGGTATCTGGAGTTACAGGTGTGGAGCTGTTTCGAGAAAAGCACCCAGGGTCGGAAGACAAGAAGATGGGCCTGGCACTTGGGGCCAAGAGGGGAGGAGGAAACCAGCCCTGACGATGGACCCAGGGGCCAGGGAGGAGGGCAGCAGTGCCTGAGCTGCACAGGCTGGGGGCACGGTAGTTAAAAACACATGGTGATCTTAGCGGGGGCAGTTCTGGGTGGGCAAAAGTTCAAGAGAGCAGTGCTGACATGGACAGGCGAGTGTGGTCTCTCCTCAGGTGTGGGGAGAGGGTGGCACCCAGCTCTGAAGAGGCTGTTAAGAGCAGGCTGATCAGCCTTTAACACATGCAGGTCCTGACTCAGTAGGTCTGGGGTGGGGCCTGAGATTCTGCATCGTCAACCAGCTCCCAGGTGACCTGATGCTGTGGGTCGGTTCCGTGGCCCAATCAGTGAGATGTGGGAGCGGGTGTGGATGGGAGTGAGCAGAGAGGAGACCAGAGGCATCAGGGCTGAGGGGTCGCTGAAGAGGGGCTGGGGGAGAGGGTGGGGAGGGCCTCGCTTTGGTGCTTTGAGGCCTTGCCTGGGAGACGCCCACCTGGGGCCGCCCGCAGCAGAGGTGAGGGAGCGAGCCCAGCGCCAGGCGCCCTGCAGGGGCACCGTCACGCGCTGGGGAGACAGCTGTGAGCTGTGCCACCTCTGCTCTTCCAGAGCGTTTGCTGTGTCCGGCTCCCAGGGTGGCGGGGACGCCCAGGGCAGCGAGGACGCCTTGGTTAGTTGGGGGCTGGCCACAGAGAGTGCGTGGAGGGAGACAGAAGCCCGCGCTCCCAGACGTCCAGAGCCGGCCCGGAAGTGGGCCGCAGACCTGGACGCTGCCGGGGTGGGCCGGCAAGGGCGCTCCCGATGGCAGGGTGGGGGGCGGGACGACGGGGCGCAGGTGGGCAGGCCAGGGTGGAAGGGCCCTGGTGGGGGTCGGAGGCCAGTCTTTGTGGCCAGGGGTAGGGACACGGTCACTGCGGGAGGGGGGGTATAGAAGGGTTTTCAAGGACAAACTGCTAAACTCCTGTTTCTCTCACCCTCGGGGGCGGGGGGAGAATCAGAAGTACACACGTCGCCTCCTCCTGACTCACGGCCCAAGTTCGCCGCCGCCCCAGGAGGGGGCCAGGGACCCGCCGCACAGATTGCTGTCCGCCCACCCCTGCCCTTGAGATTCTTCCCTTTGTAGGTTATCTTGGCTGGAGAAAAGCACCTCTTGTTTTCTCTAACTCCCCAAATGAAATTTCAACATATGTACCCCGTCATAATCCCCCTTAGGCCGTGGATAACCCTTCCCACAGACGCTGTCCTCTGCCTGGGACTGCTGGCCCCAAAGTGTTTGCCCAAGAGACTAGGGCCGCTTCTGGAAGCCCTTTCACTCCCTTGGGCAAACACTGAGTACCTTTGAAGGTGGATTTGGGCCCGGATCTGTTGACTCAGGACATTAGCCTCCTGCATGAGGAAAACCTGCACTCGCGTACAAACAGCAAATCCTTTTTGAATTAAAAAAATTTTCAATTAAAAAGCATTTTGGTTCGCAGAGCTGAGCCCAGCCGAGCGGCGCCCGGCCCTGGCCACAGCGCCCTCTGGTGGGCATGGGCCATTATCACAGCAGCAGGAAGTCCAGGAAAGAGATGTCGCTGTCAGGGGCTCTGTGGGGCTTCCCTGGGCCGGGGATGGTGGGCCCCTGGCAGAAGACCCTGCCACCAACGTATCAGACCTCTCGAGACACAGCACGCGATTCCCAGATTCCAAGAGCCTTTTGTCACGGTGAGGCCAGCATCCTGGCAGTGGTGATGCCGACCTTGGTTTCCAGCTGCACTGGGGAGGCCAAGTCACTCTAGCCCCAGCCTCATGGCAGAAGGTGATCAAACCCCCCACCCACTCTTGAGAGTGAAAAAGCAGTCCTCCATGTGCATCAGAATCAAGGGTTTGAACCAAAGCCAGTGCTGCCTGGAGCCTGCCTGGGGTCAGGGTGGGGTTGAGGGCAGGGCAGGCATGGCATTTCTTAAAAGCATCCAAGGGACTTTAATGGTTAAGCAGGTAGAGAACCACGACCTGAAACCTTTTGCTAAATAAAATAAGAGGGGAAAGAAGTAAAGGCAAGCATACACCCTCCCACCCTTCCCTCCCTGGGTCTTGTTAACTATCAAATCTACGAGAGGGCTCCAGACAAGAAACAGCAGTAAGGGATTGTTTTTAGAACCTGAATTTTGAGATGTGGAAGCTGAGGCTCAGGGAAGGATCAAACTTCCCAAGGTCCCCGAGGGCTGGGTGAGGCCAGGGGCGGGGACAGGCACACTGCTGGTGGGGCAACCAGCCTCAGGACCAGTGTCTACATGCACCTCTCAATACGGATGGAATTCCGAAATGGGGGACAGGTGGAGTCACAGAAGGGCCTGGAAGGATGTGGCAAGAGCGGGTCTGAAGGAGCCCAGGCTGGGCCTCAGGGCCCTGGCCAGGTGAGGACAGGTAGGGGGAAGTAAAGGAACAAGACACCAGCCAACTTGAAGTCTGGCTCAGGGCTGGAGTGACAGTCACGGCAGGTCCCCAGGGCAGATGGGCAGTGGGTGAGGTTCTGAGCAGTGGCCCCGGCCGTCCCCACAGCCTGCCTTTCCCAAGCCTGTTCTGGCACCTGTCCTGGCCCCATGGGCCAGGCCATGACACCTGCTGTGTCACCCCGGGTTCAGCCCCTCTGGGAATTTCAGCTCCGGGAAGCTTCCTCTCCTCACACGAGGACTCTGTGTCCTCCCATCTGTTTCTGGAAGCCTGGCTGCTGGATCTCGGGTACCCCTGGAGAGGAAAGGGCCAGGTGCCATTGTGAGGAGTGGGCCCTAAGGGGCCTCACGTGCCACGGCGCAGGCCTCCTCTGTGTACTGGGAGGGCTGATAAGCCCGTAGAAGGGCTCTGTCCAGAGAAGGGCTGTCACGTGCAGACTGGGGCCTGGGGGATGAAGGGAGGCCAGGACTGCCCCCCAGACCTGGCGGGGGGGGGGGTCCTGAAATACCCCCGAGCTGGGGAGATGCCTTGTTCATCCCCTCACTTGCTGAGAGCCCACAGCTGGGCCTGGAGGTCAGGGCTCCTGGACTACAGCCCATGAGCCCTGTGGTCACTAATAAGGGGACAGGAGGGGCAGGAGCCGCCGGGTCCCAAGCCAGGGTCGGGGACAGAATCCTCACGCCCAGTGAAGCTGGTACTGCTGTCCTTCCCACGTGAGCACAGCGGGGCTCAGAGAGGGGAGGGGCCTGACCGAGGCCACGGGGGTCAGGAAGCAGGAGGGTCCCACAACAAGCCCACAGCGGGGTCGGTGCGACCTTCGCAGGAAGCCTCTTCTGTGTTTCCCTTCTGGCTTTCCTGCTGGGCTGCTCAGCTCTGACCCGAGAGCAGCAACCCCAGAGTCAGAGACCCTGAGCCCCACCCAGCCCCACTGCTCAGCCTCACCCTAAATGAGGGGTTGAACAAGGACCCCTCGCAACCCACCTGCTCCAGGAGCAGGCACCACGTCTGTATGGGCACAGGGCATGGCTGCCGGATAAATGCATGGACCACTTGCCGATTCAGGCCGTACCTCTTTTGACTCCGGGGCACGCAGGTCATTCTCATCAACCCTCATCAGCACCCCTCCCCCTTTCCTGCTTTAAGCCAGGGACTCCCGGGGGCGGGGATGGTGACACCCACCAGCACCCTACATGGCCTGCTGCCCTGGGCTCAGTGCCGCGAGAGCCCCCCCACTCTCAGGGCACCCTCAGGAGCACCTCCACCTAGGAACCGACAGAGCATCAAAGAGCGGTGAAGTGACTCCTATGTCCCCATCCGGGCGGAGCCCCAGCCCCTGCTCTGGGAGGCGTCAAAGGTTTCTGCACAGACCTTTCCCCACACATGGCTTCTCAGATCTCCCCTCCCTCTTCCTGTCAAACACCACACCTCTGTGCCTTTTCAAATGCTACTCCCTCTGGGACATTCGTCCTCCTCCAGGGAGGATTAATCACTAGCTTCCAGGGCCCCACATCACTCTCCATCTCCTCCTTAAGTGCAGGGTCGGGATGGGGCCTCAGACATTTCTGTAGCTTCAGAGGCTGGTAGAGGCTGTGGCCCAGAATAGATGAATAAATGAATGAATGAATGAATGAATGATGGATGGATGGATGGTACAGGCTGTGGGAAGGGGGGAGGTGAATGGGTAGATGAATGAGTGGATGGAGACACAGGTGGATGGAGAGGTGAGTGAAGGGACAGATCAGGCTTTGGGGACAGCTCAATGCAAAGGAGAGAAGACAGCTAGCCTAGGGACTCAGTTCTCAGGCAGGGGGCAGGTCATTCTGGTCTTCAGTCTTTGGAAGCAGCAGTGTGTCGGTCCAGCCCTGGGTCCTCTGAATTCCCACAGCCTCTAAGCGTGATGGTGTGATGGCCCCTAATCTGTGGTATTTAACTCATGGAGGCAAAGTGCTGACCCCAGGGCTTGTCCACATCACCCCTGTGAATGGTGAAATTATGAGTCGACATGTGATCTGTGTTTGTATCTCCATGCACAGACATGGGCAAGCTGGAGGTTCACACACTAGTGGCCTGTGTGGTGTTTAAAATAGTTATAAACATTGAAAAGTTGAAGAGACTTTGCATAAAATGCCAGCATTTTCCAGATTTTATAAAACAAATAGGGGTCTATGGCAATTTTGGACCTTCATTCTTGCACCCCAACCCTTAGCCTCACACAGGTGAATGAAGGCTGCTTCCTTTAGAGAGAGGCGTGCTTTCCAGTTTGCCACAGTCCCCACCATTCCCTACGAACTGCCCAACCAGAGTGTCAACTGCCATTTTATCCCTGTGAGTGCATTTTGTGTGGGCACATGGGGACAAAGTAAGCAAGAAAGTGAAATATTTCTTGCACCCATGACTCTTAAAAGTAGAAAGATGAAAGACAGAGAAGGCCATGCATTTTAAGGAAAATGGGGGAAAGCACATTCTGTGGTGGCACTAGGACTGCTGCGTGATTAATAACAAGCTGACTTCTCCTGGCCCCTCCCAGGCTGCAAGGCTGGGGGCCCAGCGGGTACCTGTGGGTCCAGCCATTGGTGTCGGCATGGGGCTCTGGGCAGGGCTGGGGGCTGACGGACGGCTTTGTGGCTGAATAAACGCCGGTTCTGTTGGCAAAGAGCCATGGGGGCTCAGCCCTCAGTGAGTCAGCATGTCAGAATTCAGCTGAATGTCACCTAAAAATGGATCTTTGTATTTCCCCCTCCTAGGTTATTTGCGGAAAATATTTAAAACAATGCCGCTTTCTGGCGCTGATTTCTGAGTGGAAAAGGAGAAGCCATGGGTGAATCTGGGAAGGTGCCCTACCCATTCTTTATCCTTATGGTCATTTTTTTACCTACATGCCGGGCAACCTTCTAAGAGTTCAACTGGCGGGGGGCGGGGTATTACTTTCAAACTTCCCAAAAGGACAGAAAATGACAGAAAAATCCTTTTATGATAGACTTCAAAAGACGGAATATTCATCTTGACCTCAGTTCTGCATGACCCAGGTATACAACTCATGACAGTATCCAGGGCAGGTAATTCTGTCCACCAAACATCAGCTCTGGCTCAGCCTGGCTCCCTCGTTTATATGATGAACGCCCTGGGCCGCTGCAGGAAGCGACCTGGTGGCCTGGGTGGCGGCTGCTGCTTGGCGATACCACTGCCAACAGAACCAAAGGGGGGGGGAATGCAGACTCTCAGAATTAGGAACTCTATTAATATCATCTACCGTATTCATATTCCCGCAGAGAAAAAATATGATCATCTCAATGGATGATTAGAAGACATTTATCAAAAGCTACCATCTAGGGCTTCCCTGGTGGCGCAGTGGTTGAGAATCTGCCTGCCAATGCAGGGGACACGGGTTCGAGCCCTGGTCTGGGAAGATCCCACATGCTGTGGAGCAACTAGGCCCGTGAGCCACAACTACTGAGCCTGCGCGTCTGGAGCCTGTGCTCTGCAACAAGAGAGGCCGCGACAGTGAGAGGCCCGCACACCGCGATGAAGAGTGGCCCCCGCTCGCCACAACTAGAGAAAGCCCTCGCATAGAAACGAAGACCCAACACAGCCAAAAAGAAAGAAAGAAAGAAAGAAAGAAAAGGTATTATGAAAATCATTAAAAAAAAACAAAGCTACCATCTAATCCTGATAAAAACATTTAGGAAAATAGAAATAGATGGCTAATTCTTTAACATGATAATAAAAAAAAGATATGTCTATATGCAGCAAGCCAAAATGCAGCATTATGGGTTAGTATAGAACTAGAAACTTCCGTCCAGACAAGGCGGCCCAGTGACCTCACCAAGCTGGCCACGGTGCCAGGCGAGGCACAGGAAGAGGGACAGGAGGAGGCAGTGTTGGTATTTGCAGACGACATAAACTCCGGCCTGCGAAACTGAAGAAAAGCAACTGAAAAACCGTCAGAAACAATAGAAGTCAGTGGGAGAGCCAGCCCACAAAATGATGCAAAAGTCAACAGCTCTTTGATACATAAATGACAGAAAATATAATGGAAGAAAAGATCCTGTTCATGAGAGCCACGAAAACATCAAACACCTAGGAATAACCTACAAAGAAGGGTGCAGGCTCTCCACAAAGAGCGCCCTTCCACTCTGCTGAGCGACAGAAACAAAGACCCGGGTGGCGACTTTTCACCAATCGTTCCTCTATTCACCTATATGCTCAGTGCAGTCACAATAAACATCTAGAATGGAGCTTCTCCCCCTGAAAAGATTCTCAAGTTCAGCTGGAAGAATAATCATGTGAATATAATTAGGAAAATTGAGGTGGGGCCGACGGGAGAACTAACCTTATATTAAAGTTGATTATAAAGCTATCAGATTCAAAGCAGTGTGGCAATCATATAAAAAGAACAGAGATGAACAGAGTCAAGAAAAATGTCCATTGATCCACTTACAGATGGAAATGTCTGATAAGAGTAACACTGAAAACTCACTGAAGAAAGTAAACACTGTTGTGAAAACTGGCTAACACTTTAGGATAAAATAAAGCTGGTTCTAGATCTTACCTTCTGATAAACTTCAGATGGACTCAGTAGTTGAAAAGTATTTAATATTTTAATATATTAAAACACAAAGGGTATGAAAAAATATGGGCAAATATTTTTATAATCTTCTAAGCAGGACATGAAATCAAAGATAAAACCTCAAAACAAAGACAAAATTGCCCATGAAAAAATTAAAAACCATTGTATAGCAGAACACATCTTTAACAAGGTGAAAAGCCACTGGTTGAATGTGTGTGTTTGAACACAGGACAGAAAGAAGGTTGTTGCAAAGAACATAAAGAACTCAAAAATGAATGAAAGAAGCTAAATAAGCCAATAGAAAAAACTGGGCAAAGGGCACAAACAAAAGAGATTCACAAAAGAAATACAAATGGCCAATAAACACATGAAAAGATGTTCACCTTTAAATACCAGTGATGCTTAGCTATAGTGAGGACGTGGGAAACAGGTACCCGCTCACACACCACAGGATGGGGGAGGGGAAGTTTAAATGGGCACACTCTTTTTGGAAGGCAAAATGGTAATACCATGCATTCTTCTAAGAAACACCCAGGGAGCAAAGACACACGTACAAGGAAGTATATTGCACCGGTGTAATAGCAGATAATTGGAAACAACTCAAAAGTAAATCAACAGTGGATTGCTTAAATAAATTATGACAATCATAAAAGGGAACCATATGTAGTCATTAAAAAGAATGAGGTAGATTTGTGTGAAATGACATGGAAGGTTGTGCAAGATACACCGGTCTGTGCGAAAGCAAGATAGAGAATATTATGTCCAGTGTTGAACTCCTGTGATCTTTGTTTGACACGTGTGTGTGTATGTGTGTCTCTCCCAGGAGTGGACCACGGGGGACTCTCACCTTTGAAATGTTTCCGTAATGTTTGCATTTTAATAAACACGCACAACCTTTGCACTCGGAAAGAAAACACTAAATATTAAAAAATCGATTCTGACCAGCGGGGTAGCTGCTTAAGATGACAAACTGCCCACGATGTCTGCCACAATTTATAGGGAGAGAACTGATCTCGTCTGTGGCATCAAATAGTGGTTCCTAAGCTGTGGTCAGACTCCTGAAGAGTCCAAGAAGTGGAGGTCCCCAGGCTACTTCCCACATTTCAAAAGAAGCCTAACACTTCTTTTATGCGTTTGGAATGGCTATCCATTAAACTAATTCATTAGGTTCCTTTGTTTTTGGCTGAAATTATCTCAACTCAGTGTGATAGCTCTGTAAGAATTTGGTGGCAGCTCTATGTCTGAACAATATAAAAAAGGGGAGCGGAACAATATATAAGAAGGGTTAACTTCTATTTAATTAACTAACTTTTATTTAATAAATGAAGTAGGCAAATTTCTTTCCCAAAACATATCAGCTTCCTGACTGAAAAAGAAAGAAGAAAAGATTCTGGGTGTTGTAAAATACTAAGTCTCACAGACAGAAAACACCTTATTTCCTGTTGCAGTTTAAGACCTGACCACTAGATGGTGCAAAGAGATCACACATTTTGCAACATCTCCCTCTACAAAATTCTTAACATTAATAAGCACAATGAAAGCTTTCCAAAAGTAGAAAGAATGAACAATTGTGCTGGGATATGAACATTTTGCTTTTATAAAATTGGACTCTGCCATTTCATTACTGATACAAAAATCTTCTGCCTCGCTTTCTTCCTGCATATGCAGATCCCAAATCCAGTCTAATCTCATATATTGCAAGGGCTTGCAGAAGTCCATGCAAAGTGGATGTACAGAAGTTGGATTCAAAAATTCTTTTTACCTCGCGATGCCAAATGTGTTTCCATTAATTTCACCTCAATGCTGTGACGTAAATGCTAGTGGAATCTGCCCCAAGCTAAATAAGCAATAAGCCCCATTTTTCAATACACAAACACATAAAGATGTCAGCTCAAACTGTTTACTAATTAACACTTAAAAAGACACAAATTAGATATGCGTGGCTAAGAGCAATTATAATCAAGACGAATTTCTCCAGTCATTTGGGAACTGAAAAAAATGCCTAATTGCTGGAACCAATGTTTTAAAAACTGAAATCACGCCAGTTAGCAAATATGTTCATTTAAAGAACATTCCACGTGACTACACTCTTGAGGATTGACTACAAACATAAGAACAAGGAAAATATTTAGGTATAAAATTAAAATTTTAAGCTCCTTTAGATTTATAATTTCTTCATTAAATATGTCTGCAAACAGCAGCCCATAAAAACCTGTAGCAATTAAGTGGTTAAATGAACTGCCTCCCTTGTCAGTTTTAAAGGAGTGATTAATATCAGATCGTCCCTTTACTAATTAGACTCTCCCTTGTCTTTCAGCCTTAAAGCCTAGTGAAAATGGAGGCTGTTTGCTCCACCAGGAAGTGTGGTGGGCTAATGACGCTCCCTTGCCACGGTTTTGAGTGTGGTGCCCACCGAAGGGAGGGTGAGCATTGTGGTTTTCCATGGAGGGTCGGCAGCAGGTGGGGAAAGGGCTTTGTGTGCTGGTCTGGAAGGCACTCTGGATGCCGTTTCAATCACAGGAATTGTCGGCTCCTATTTTTAGAGGCTTGCAGTGTTATGCACAAGGCATGGAATCTACAGTCCAGGCCACCTCTCCTGGCCACCACTCGTGAGACAAGGGAGAGGGCAGTCTGTGAGGGAGGCAAGGCTGGGGATGGACGGGCCACAGGGGACGGTGGGGTAGTGGGCGGGGAGGGAGGATAAACAGGCTGCAGGAAAGGTAACCGAGACACAGGAATTATTTTAGAAGCTGCTGCCCGAACTGAGGAGCTGGGGAGCTCTCACCCTGGCTGCGATGGGGCGTCCATCAGATGGAGAAATAGGGTGACTGCTTACGAGGGAAATAAAGAGCAGCTGAGACAGAATATTTATATGCCCATCTTCTCACTCCCAGAGAAGATGCTTCATCACGGGGTCGGCTGCGAAATTACACTTTTCCCGACTCTTGAACAGAGAGAACCTTTTCTTTGGGCAACGGGGAGGACAATAAGGGCTTCACTGGGACACAGCCCTCCGGGGTCACGGCCACCCTCCTGCAGAGCCAGACAGCTGCTCCCCGGGGCAAGGGGGCCAGGTCAGGGCCAGAAAGCACTCCCCCCCCCACCGCCGCCTTTGCTGCCGACAGCTGCCACTGGCTGCTCCCTGGTCGCCTCCCAGGGCAGAGGGGAGGTAAGCAAACACACACTCTCCTGCCTCGGGGTGATGGACACGGCAAAGCCCCCACTCTGAGCCTCGGAAGGTCACGGACGGCAGGAGATGTGGCTGCTAGAGGGCGGGTTGGGCCGCAAGGAGGTTGGGCTCAGCGCTGGGGACCAGGAGAGGGACAGCTTCACAGCGGGAATTGGTTTACAACCTTGGCTTTTCCGCTTCAACAGCCCACGCCACCTGAGCGCGTCTGAAGAATTTTTCCCCCATATCTGCCGGATGGCATGGGCACTGATTTTTATCATGACCCTCCTTGGGGGCCTTTCAGGAAACGTAACCAGGTGCTGTGTACACCGCGACTGCCGGGGCCTCCCGTCAGTGCCACAGCAGCAGCCTTGGGACCAGCACTCCGGCCAGGGTGGGATCCCTGGGCCTGCACGCCAACCTGAGGAGGGGGAGGCCAGGGGACTTGCCCCAGGGTCCAGCCTAGGTAGCAGATTTGGCATGCTACCCCGGGGGGCTCGACTCGAAAACTGTGTCCCTCCACTATGCTGTGTTGCCTCCATTGTCTACACTGTCCACAAACGTCCCTGCAGACACCCGGTATCTACACACCCACGCGGCAGGCGGCTCCGGCCCACACGAGCTGAGTGGCACGCTCCTGCTTAAGCTCGTCAGATTCTCATGTTGGCGGGCTGGAGGCGCACTGTCACCCACTGCGGGGAGGCGACACCTCATCTCTTTGCATCTGTTACTCAGTTCACGGCGGGTCCGCGCTGTGGTGATGAGGGCCGCTGGGGACAGCACTCCTGGGCTGGCTGTCGGTGATCCCTCGGGTCCCTAATCACCAAGCTCAAGGCTGATGGGGCTTGTTCAGGGGGTGACCCGTCCCCGAGGCTAAATGGTGGTGACAGGGCGCACGCAGGCTAAAATTCAGAAGTATCCCCCAGGCAGGGCAGGGTGAGTAACGTTCAAGTTGGCAGGAGAGCGGGCCCGCGCCAGTCCTGGACGGGAGGCAGCATGCTGCCTTTGGGGCGAGCACTCCCACTTCCTTTATAGCCGCGGTCACCCAAGCCCAGGTTTCTGCTGTGAGCTGAGGTGCCCCCACCTCTCCCAGGGGGCACGGACAGATAAGGGAGGGGAGCGCCTGCCCCAGACAAAGCAGCCCCCACTGATGCTGGGCTCTCCCTGCTGCCTGGGAATCCCAGGCGAGATCCAAGGGGGTGTTTGGGATGGGCAACGGGACAGTGCAGGTCATGGTCAGCCCTGAAGTCTCCCGCCTTCTTGGGGGAGGGCGCTTGGCTTGATAGTGTAAATGTGAGGAAAGCAAACCCCCAATGGAGCACCCCTGCCCCAAGACCCCTCCCCAAGCACATCCCCCCGCCCCCACCAGGGCAGCCAGACTGGGAATGGAAAGGGGCAAAATCATCCTGACTAGGGGGACCCCCAGCTACTCAGGGCCAACCCACAGAGCCCGAGTGTGAGGCCAGGGGACTGTGGGCAAAGCTTCTCCTCGGCCTCCAACCCTTGGAGCTATGCTGAGTTCAGCGGCTAAAAGGGGAAAGTTCCAGTTTATTTACAGAGAAAATCCTCTGACCTTGTTGCAGAAGGAGGAGCCCGTTCACCAAAGTGTGTAGATGTCAATATACTAATCACCATTAAATGCACGTGGATGGCTGGTGGAAATAACTTTTAAATCCTCAGATTAAATAAAAATCTCCACAGCACCCTCGACTTCAGTGGTATTTGTAATGGTTTTACACCCTATTTAGTGTTTCTAACCTCTCCCCGTTTCCCTGTATTTTCTTTAATTTCTTTCAACAGAGAACACAGACGTGTGTTTTTAACTCATCACTGAAAACAAGGAAGCAAGCCAAGCTTGGTCAACGGGGCTGTCTCTGCTCCGCCACCAGCGAGAGGGCAGCTCGCCAGGCTGCCACAGGACAGACTTACGCCGACTCTCCCTGCTTCCTGTGGACCAGGGGGACAGTAGTAACCATGACCATGACCATGGCAGCAGCCGCTGGTAACTAACCGGGCAGTAGCCACAGCAAGCGCTGTTCTAAGCCACTTCCGTGACTGTCTTGGTCAAACCCATAAATGCTGCAGGGCATTTTTATTACTATCCTGATCTTGCAGAAAAGGAAACTGAGGCTCAGTTCCTCAGTGGAGGAACTGAGGATTCTGCCCCACCAGGCTCTGTTCAGAGCACCTGACATCAAGACGACGCATTCACACCAAACACATTTTCGGCCCTTTAGTGGGGAAGAGAATTAAGAGAACTTATGATGGTTTCCACCACATGTACTGGCTCTACACTGGGCTCTCTCCTATTTCACCCCGTCCTGGTAACCTGAAGGCCCGGCCGGGGTCAGAACCCAGGTCGACGGGCCTCCCAGGTACCACTGTCCCCATCAGCCCCAACAGTAGGACAGGGAGCAACAGACTTAATGTCATAACGGAGCGGATTTGGAGTATGACACGCTAGGTCTCAATCTTGTCTTGGGTATTATTATTATTATTATTTCACCTCTCAGTCTCAATTTCTGCCCCATGAAATGGGGAGGAACAATGCCACCTGGTCAACTTGGGGTGAGAATCGGTGATGACGGAGGTAAAGCCCAGGCCCAGAGCGGAGCATGTAGCAGGTGCTTCAATGAACGGGGCTCTGGTTACAGCCCAGGAGGATGGGCGGGGAGAGAAGGGGCGACATTCACAGCTGCCCAGTCTCTGGCACTCACCACCTACCCCACCTACCCAGGGTGATGGGCAACTGCTGTCCGCAGTGCTTCACACATCTATCCATTTAGTGTTCGTGAGACAGGTTCTACTGTTATCCTGGCTTTAAGCAGAGAGGGGGCGTGACCACCCGACCCCCACGCGCATCCCTTAAGGTCTGTGTGACCTTGTCCGTCCTGAGAGGTCACAGGCCACGCATGGCCCTGCTTCACCGCCTGCAGCCAGAGCAGGTCCCGGCAAAGGCATTCCACATAGGCTCGCTGGCGCCACCCTGTGCGGGACCCCAAGCAAAGGCAGTCTGTAAGCGGACGGCCGCCTCAATTTTGAGCAAGGTTGACCTGGGGCTTCATGCACATGTATATTTCTGGTGTGGTAGCCAGACATTCCTTTTCCTAAGTTTACCTCCACCCCCCAAAATCTATAGATGACAATCACGTTGGTTTTTATGATTTACTGAAAATCAAAGACAAAAGGGGACTTTTTTGTCTTGTTTTTGCTATGACAGGTTTAGAAATTTGTTGTACTACATTGATTCAATTTTCCTGGATTTCAGCCATCTTTCAATAATGCAACCTGCTTCTGCAAGCTGGGTACACAACAGAAAACCCAGAGGAACTGAGAATATTGAAATGGTTCTACCATTTCCATCTTTGAGACAAATGTGCCTCTCAGAGGAGAGCTGGCTGCAAGCATGTGACCGCTTAACAACCGTCTACATGTGAAAGACGACACACACGCTAACGCTGTCTCATGAAACTGGGGAGACCACCGGCAGATCTGACCTCTAGCTTGATTCCATTATCTCAACTCTCTTTCTTCGGAGTTGTCACATGTGCTCCAATCCTGGGTTTCTTTCTTTTTTATTAGGAAAACATCCAAACTCTTTCGAAACAGGCTGCCAAGTGGGGTCTGGCTATCAAGCACAAGGGAATGTACCGTGATCCTTCCTCTAAATCACGAAGAGCCTCTGACATTTCCCCAAACTCCTACTGGTGGCAAATAATAAAACAGAAGGAGGAAAAACCAACTCTGCACACACACCCCAACCTCTACCTTCTTTACGCCATGACATTCTAAAAAAAATGAAGCAGAATTGATTGTTCCGTGCATCATGTAAAACCTTCTGTCTTATTACTTTAAGCAATATACACATTAAAAGTGAGTTTCTTTTTCTCAGAAATAAACTTGAATGAAAGTATTTTTCTCAGAGGGTCACCCCACACCTAGGTCCCTCCTGTTCCTGGAACACAAACCCTAATGGGGATGGGAGACCCTGGGTCCAGTGAGTGATGACCCAGGCCCCCCACCTGTCCCACTCTGGGAAGCTTGCTTACCTCTTTTTCAATTTCTGCCAGAGATTTGATGGTGATTCCCAAGAGATCAAAGGGCTGCATCTGAAAATACAGATCAAGTCATCCTTTTAAACGGCTGGAAAAATGCTTCTTCACATTTGCTCTTATTCACAATTGTGACACTTCAAACCCCCTTGTGATCTGGCGTTTTCTCCACTCCTTTTCCATGGAAACCATCAGTGTGACTATAGTGACAAGTGAGGGTAAATGGACCAGTAGCAGGAGCAGACTCAGAAAACCTGGCCGTCACCAGGGTCCCTTCTGGTGGGGACCCCGGCCTAGGCACCTGTCTACAGCACCCGGGGGGGGGGGTCACGGCTCTCCTGAAAGACCATGACTGTCACCAATAATTTCTGCCTCTTGTCTCTCCCTGCCCACAGGAAAAGCCAGTGTGCTCTTTCTGCAGCCGGGGGGATGGAGGTGCCCACGGCTTCCCCACACCGCCCTGACAGCCGCGTCTGTGTGCTGGAACGGGTCTAAGGAACTCCACGAGGCAGGCAGCCAATCTTCTGCCTGGGACTCCTTGGCATCAGAGAAGGAGCTGGAGGGAATTCCAGGTCTTTGAAAATGCAAGGTAAATGAAGTAACTGCCCATCAACTGTTGTTTAAGAAGTCAGTGGTGGTGGAAAATGGTAACACTGCATTTTAATGGGTATTTCTGTAACTTCATAGAGATGGGGGCCTTTCTTTAAAAACGCTGGCTTTTCCAGACAGCATGAAAAATAAAATGCACATGGCAACAAGAGTCAGCTGGAGGCCCAGAGAAGCCTGGGCTGAAATAATGCACGGTGAGGGGTGGAGGGAACCTGGTCTCTGAGGTCCCTGGTCCGAATCCCCTCAGGGATCATCAGTGGTCTGTGTTCCCGAGGGGTACCAGCCCAGCCTTCTGCAGCCCAGGCCAGCAGCTGGCAGCCGGGGATGAACAGGTGAAACCTGAGAATCTCTGACAAAACTCCGGGGCCTTCGGTTCTGAACTGCAGCCCAGAGGCAGGGGATTTCCTGGGAGGGGTGGTAGAAAGAGGCCGGCTCTGAGCCCAAGGACCTGGATTCTAACTGGGCTCAGTGCCCCTTCGTGATGCAGCAGCGGCAGGTTAATCACTCGAGCATTTCCTCTCCGGTTACAAAGCATTGCGGGAGGGCCCTGCCGGCTGGGCTGCTGAGATTAAACACAGAAGTGCAGGGAAGCGCTTGCACTGGGCTTGGCCCGAATCCGCCTGCCTGAGCACTTGCTGAGTCGGCAGAGCCCGATCTTGGGACAGGGCCACCGAATTAGGCACTCAGCTCCTGGGGCTGCTCTGCCAGTAGCCACAAAACAGTTTGGCTTTCTCCTGCTGCCAGCCCGAGTGGTGCGAGAGCGGGGCTGCCTGCCTGAGCGGCCCGGGATCCAGCAGAGGTCCAGCTGTTGTATCATTAGGCTCTAACTGCCCCACTAAACTTTCCTGATTGGAGCCGGTGTGCAGGACAGAACAGCCTCTCCAAGGGAGTGGGCGGGAGAGGCGCCAGCATCTCCATGGCAACGCGGCCAAGTGGAGTCAGCTGAAGTTACTCATGCTCCGTAGGTCAAGTCACGAGCGTTTTTCAAGATTAAGCTGCTTACCAGAAGGGTTCAGAGAAGACCTATTATATTTCATGAAAATGGAAACTCCAGTGCAGGTCAAATCGCGAGCTGGGTGGTTTTAAGCTGGGTCCAAGAAAAACACTGAAGGATTCTTTAGCTGGTGCCCAAACTAGGGCCTTCATGTTTATTAGCTACTCAAAGCAAACTTCTGCAGAAAGGATTTTAAAAAGCCCAGAGAGCAGTCTACTGAGCCAGCATGGACCAGGCCTGCACAGCTGAGGGAGGGCCACTGCCACACTGGGGGGCAGGCACCACCGGAGAGAGGGCACGGGGTGCCAGGCGGGGCCCGCAAAGCTGTGCGTGCTGGGTGCCTCTCACGATCTGGGTTCTGGCCTTCAGACCCAGCTAGCTCACTCAATCCCTCTGTCACTAAAGATGGCTCAAGGGCCCAGCCTGGCCTCAGTTGCCTCACGTGTATCATGGGGTCCGTGCTAGCCTGCAGTGGGCGGGAGACCCACAGCTGCAGGGCACCCTGCCACTCCGATGCCTGCGATTTAGAGCAGAGAACGTGGTCATCATGGAATGCGGCAATGACAATGGGGAAGTGAGGCAGCTTTCTTTCTGCTAGACATTGACTTTGTTAAATAAAAAATAACAGAAATTAGTAAGGTGAGCTTGGAAAGCAAGAACATTTACAGCCGGTGAAGTTCAGTACAATTTACCATCACACTTGAATCAAAAAGCCTTGGCTGCGTCTGCGTCTGAGTATGTCTGCTAGTCTGTCTCGCTCCCTCCCCACCCTCATCCCTTCTTTCACTTCTCAAGCACCCACTACGGGCAGCATTAGCTGAAGGGGCCCAGGGAGGAACACGACCCACTTCCGGCTCTCAGGCAGCCCTGCTGTAGGCTGCAGGGCTGAGCTTCCAGAGGCGGGGAGAACACGAGGACAGCAGTGATTCTGGCGGGGGAAGGGGAGTGGGGCAGAAGGGGAGGGCGATCGTGCTTAAAACTTACACTTTCTGGAACACAAGAAAACTTCTCTGAAATCATAAATGGCACACCATCCATTGCTGCAAAAGAAGAAGAAAAGAGAGGAAATGGCATTGCAGACACCACTAATGTTCAGCACCTTGAGATACTGACACAGACAGTACAGGCCGGTCAGGGCTGGAGCCGGCCGACACGTGCACAGGTGAGTGGGGCCGAGGGCAATGGGTGCCCAGGTACCATTCCTGCTCCCGGGAAGGACACACACCTGGTGAGCAAGGCAGACGCACCGCCGAAGTGCAGACGAGCTGTGAGAGCAGGGAAGGGTCCAGAGCCCACCCGGGGTCCAGCCTGTAAGCGGTGGGAGCCACCGAAGGGCTGGTGGCAGGACAGAGGCACACGAGGGCTGAGGGGACAATGCCGGGCTCGGCGAGGAGGTGGGCAGTAAGCGTGTTCCTGAGATGTCCTTCCAGTTGAGCCTGATCACAGCCAGGCTGTCAGGCTCCCGGGAAAGGTCCAGGTTGGAGGAAGGAGTGGTTCTGGAGTCAGACAGCTGGGTTTGGACCCTGGCCACGGCTTTGGGTGTTGGGGGTCCGCCTGCCGATGCAGGGGACACGGGTTCGTGCCCCGGTCTGGGAAGATCCCACATGCCGCGGAGCGGCTGGGCCCGTGAGCCATGGCCGCTGAGCCTGCGCGTCCGGAGCCTGTGCTCCGCGACGGGAGGGGCCACAGCAGTGGGAGGCCCGCGTACCGCAAAACAAACAAACAAACAAAAAAAACCACGGCCTGCGGAGGAGTAGGTGTGAGCGGGCTGTGTGTGAGGCTCCGCCTCCGGCGCCCAGGTGCTCGGCAGGCGGGGCTGCGCGGCCACCATCGCCGGCTCCTGGTCCGCTTTCCTGGGCTGAATCGCGGCTCCCCTGTCTCCTCAGTGTTAACAGGACACAGAAGGGGCGGGAATGGGTCCCCAGCAAAGGAAAACGGGGCGGGGGTGTGTGTTCATTGGTTCAGTTCCTTTCCCACAGCCCCGCGCCCACCGAGTCCCCAGGTCATCGCTGTCAAATCACGACCGGGAGCTGCCTCCCCGAGCGCGCCCTCTCCCGGGAGGAGCGGAATAATGACGTCAGTGTGGAAACCTCGGCACACGGAGGAGCACGTCGCACTGGACCGAGCGTGACGCCGGTCCCCCGCAGCGTGAAGGCCAGGCAGCCGCGGGCCGTGGGGCGGGTGGACGCTTCTCCTGGGGCCCGGCTTCGCCCTCAGGTCTGAGCAGAGGCCAAACCAGGCCTCCCTGGTCCCAGCCACTGGCGTGGCGTGGAGCGTCACGCCGAGGGCACTGGTTTTCTGGTGAATTGTGGTCACAGGAAGAAACGGAGTGATGAGTTCCCTGGGAAGCGATCATCTCTGCCTCCCCCGACATCTAAGATGGGGCCCTCTCTGGTACACAAGTGGTGGACAATTTTTTTTCAGTCCTAAGAAATAAGAGTCACAGAAGCAGAAAGAAGGAAATAAGAGAAAGAAAAGAAATCTGGGACAAAGCCTCTCTGATCAGTAAGATGAGCCACATGTCTCATTTTAAGCTACATTCACAATTTCTGGGAAGATAAAAATGGAAACTTCTCTGGTAAGTTTGAGGAAAAAGCAATAGCACAGCCGGCCGCAGCTGCTGCACTGGAAACCTCCTCCTTTCCTGGGAAGCCTGCTTGGCCACGGGGCTCCGACAGAGACGTCTGTGGTCAGAGACCTCACATCACGGAGGCCCTGCAACCTGCCCTCACTGCCTGGAAGAGGACCAGCTAAGCACTGGGGACAGTGTGACAGCTCCCCAGAAAGGCAGGGGAAAGCCCACAGTAACCTTAACACGGTACAGCACACACGCAAATATACTAATGAAATCTGAGCACCTATGCTCACTTACAGCTGGGAAAACCCATCCCTGAACAGATGATCCCTGAAAGGCCACGACGCCTTCTAGAAAGAGCAGGACCAGGCCCACCCAGGACCCAAGGAGAGGCCAAGCTCCCTTCCCAGAAGTTGCCACCGTGCACTCAACGTGGCTGGGAGTCAAGGCTCACTCCATGCGGCACTCTGACCCCAGCCCCCTTTCAAAAGCCACGGAGGCAGGAAAGCATGCAGCACTGACAGCATTTCGGATCACTCACAGATTGGGGGTCAGAGCCCACACAGGCGCCAAGCAGTGACTCCTGTCTTTGGCCCTTCCATGAGGTATACATGAAATTTCTGAGAGCAAACCTGCTTCTTCCACACCAGGGCCTTTCACGGTTTTGACAACATTACCAGTCCCTCCCCAAGTGTCTAGCTGGCCCTTCTACCAGCTCCTTCCCATCAGACCGACGGGCCAGGAGGTGGGCTTGTGTGCAAACAGCCCCATCAGACCCATCATGGTCTTTTCGAAGCCACTCTTTCCTTGGCCATCCCCCTCACCGTTAAGGCACCGCCCCCATCCTGGCCACCCCAAGTCAGGCGCTAGAAGCCACAGCCTACTTTACTTCTTCAGATTCTCAAAGCCCCCTGTTGTCACCTGCCCTGGCCCTGTCACTCTCTGCTCTCTGCACACGTGTCTGCACACACGCGCCACTTTCCCAGCTTCTCTCTGCCCAGGAGACAGACGGCAGGGCCCAGGGCAGAGCTCCCTTCCTGCGCTCGGGAAGCAATCCGACCCAACGCTGGAGAGCGGTTTCCAGTGAGCGCATCTTTGGCCACATCGCTAAGCGGAGAACCCCGCTCGTTCATTCACTAGGCTTTCTGCCTTTGGTGTTTAAAGACCTCCTTAGTGTCTGGGGGTTTCTGGTAAGATATGGTGAAGATCTCCGTTCTCCCTGGTGACAGCTGTTTCCATCCAAATGTCAACACATGTTCAGAGAACTGGTGTTCTGACAAGGTGGTAAGTGACCTGCAAAGGCCCGACTACCCCGGGAAATGAGAGACCTGGGGAGCACTGGGCGAAACTGAGGAAGGCTAGTGACCCCTGCCCAGTGTGAGGCTGGCAGTCAAGCCTGCATACAAAGGGAAGAGACAGGAGGGTTTCCAAGGCGGGGTGCTTACGGCCCCTCCGCACAGGATGCCCCTCCCCTTCACCCTACGTCCACCCACCGCCATCCCTCTGGGATCCGCTTAGAGTGGCCCCCGGGTGCCTAGCCAGGGCCGCATCTCCTTTCTCGGCTGAGGGTCCTGGCCATCCACGTGTGAGTCACCTCTGCATTCCTGTCCCAGCACAGGGGGTTCCTGGGGTGCTCAGCACCCCCCATAATGGGGCTCCAGCCTGGGGACATTTGGAGAGAACAAAGGGAAGACGCCTTCCTGAGACTGTCTGCGAAGCAAGAGGCAGCAGTGAGGGTGGCCCTCCAGACTGTGGGGCTGATGCCCTCCTGACAGGGTTTAGCAGCAGAGGAGACGGCGTGGAGATCCACTCGGACCTAATCCGACCTCAAGGGAAGCTGGGAAGGGAGAGAGATGCGAACTTGGGGATAAGTTACCACTTTATCTTAGAGTTCAGGACAGAAAGACGGGCACAGCCGGATGCTCCTTGTATTCTAGACAGCAGGCTTTAACAGTCTTGGAAGAAAAGAGAGTCCATAGGATCCCAGGGGCTGAAGCTCCTGAATGGGAGCTGGCTCAAGAGGAACAGTCGCCATGGTGACACGCCCCGAGTCCCTGGGAAGGGGAGCCAGTGAGAGCCTGCGAAACAGATGATATGCCAACCAAGTTCCACTTATTTAAAAAATCGAATATGGCCAAGATTATGGTAGGCTGAGACGAACATGGGTTTCAGCAAAGCACCTGACAAGTTTCCCATGTTACCCATATGGACAAGATGGACAAATACAGCTGGACAATGTTAAGGGTAGGAGCATCCATAACTGGCTGGACTAGACGTTCAAGAAGCTGATTAATAAATCCATGTTGACCTCAAGTGACCTCCCTGGAGGGTGCCCAGGGCGCTATCAATTACTCTAGTGAAGACACGCATAGTGGGCGTATCCACCATGTGGCCGATGAGGACAGTCTGCAGACTGGGTAACAGAAGACCGATAAAGACCTCAAAAAGCTGGAGTCACGGGCTACATTTAACAGACGGAATTTACTAAAGGTCAGTGCTAAGTCCTGTACTTTAAGTCCAAAACACCAACTGCGTTAGATGGAATGAAAGAGATGTTCATGCTGGAATAACAGCAGAAGACATGAAAAAAGACTGGTCTGTAGTTGAACAAGTCAACAGCGTGGCTTGACTGTTTAGAAAGGGGGAGGGATGGCACTGTAAGGGACAGTGCAGCAGTCCTGGTGCCAGGGTGAGGGAGCTGCCACCTTGGTCTGCTCTGGGCTCAAGGGAGGGGTTCAGTGCTGGGACCGCACTCTCAGAGGGTCGTCCTGGGCAGCCTGCCAGATGGTGAGGGACCCGAAGCCAGCCCACAGGAGGGAAGGGGAGGAAGCCGTCAGACCTGCTGCTCCAGGAAGGCCTGATCCCGTCCACTTTTGTTCATCGTTGCACCCCACCTGGCACCCGAGAGCCCAGCGCCGTGCCTGGCACGTGGGAAGTGCAGCGAGATGGGGTTTGGTCCAGATACGAGAGGCCTTGAAGGTGAATGTGGTCAAATGTCTGCACATGTTCTCAGAGCTGTCACAGGAAGAGGGGCTAGAGAGACGGGGCACGATTCAGAGGGGGGGGGCCCTGCCCTCCTCGGGGAAAGGCGGAAGGCAGGACCAGCAGAACCGGCTGCAAAGGTCCAGGTGGACGGCCGCTGGGAGGGATTTTATGTGTTGGTAGAAAGCTGATCTGTGGGACTGCTAAATCCCCTTCTAATCCCATGACATCCATTTCTCTTCTCCTTATCTGGGCAGCCTTTCCATATCTCAAGATATCTAGAGGTTTGCCAAACATAATTCTTAAAATCAATGGCACACATTTTTCAGGCATTCCAAAAGAAGTTCACAGATCATTTCCATCCGGGCTCCTTGTGGGGAGCCACGTTTACTTCCTTCCTTCCTTGTTTCCCGAGCTGAGGCCAGCGTTTCGTCCTCACCGTGATCCTCCTTCTAGCCTTCAGCCTGCTGCCGAGTCCTACTC